AAAGCAATAACATATTTAATATAGGATTACCTCTATATATAAAAATAATATATAAAACTAATTTACATTAAATCCATCATGGAACCCAAGAATTACAGCACTATTCGAAGCATTCTAAAGAAAGCTCAAGGAGAGAAAATTGCTCCATATATTTTTAAAATGAATGATACCCAAATTCTCCAGAATTATTTAGATAAAGAAAAAATTACTTATGAAATTTACCAAGAGGAACGGAAAATTATAACTACTAAATAAGCATTAACACCAACACATGGTGAACCAAGAAAGAAAAAAAGACTGGCAGAATAAACAATCAAATCATTATTAATCATCATCCTCTTCATCATCCTCTTTTTCTAGTTCAGCAGGGGAGTTTTATCATTGAGCAAGGAGTTTTCTTTTTCAGATAGCTCAACCAAAACTACTTAGTAATAAAAGAATTCCTCCTCCAGCTACTCAAGCAGAAGGATTATTTCATTTTCAGAACACTTCTTGTTGCTGATTTTTAAAAAGCTTTTCATACTTCTTCTTGACATGATCTTGCCCTCCTAACTTTTCAGCATAGTATTTAATGATTCCTTCTTCACTAAACTCTTCTCCATTTTCATATACGGATAGATCTAATCTAATCAGTCCTTTTTGATCCTCTTTAAACTTTTTCATTTCATTAAGAATGCCAACTTTAAGATTACTATCTGCTTTTAATTCCTGTAAAGCAATAGTCTCTACCACTATTTCAGGGTCTCGAGTAAAGAATCAATCTAATCAAGCTTAATCTTTATCCTTTTGATCAGAAAGATCATAAGTATCATCGATTAGTTCTGGTTTTTTAGCTAGAGTTTCTTTACAGTATTTAACCAATTCAGCTTTATTGATTTTACTGCTTGCTCCATTAACTTTGTCAGCAATATTTTTAATTTCATTAGTGTGTTGGTTTTAAAATCAACATTTTTGGAATAAGCAATTCATTTTCTTGTTAAATCACTAAACACATTAGTTTTGACTCCTAAAACTCCTTTTAGTTCTATTGGAAGAATTCTCCTTTTAGGAGGAGGAACTTCACTATTCTCAATATAGTAAGTAAGTTGATCTAACTCATTTTGTTTCACTGGATCTAATCCCTGCCCTACTGATTCCAAAGAATCTTTTATACTTTGCAAATAATTTTTTATAACTTCATCATTAAAGAATTTGCCATCATCTTTTTTTCAGTTTTCTAACCTTTTAGTAAAGTGATTTCCATGTGCTACTCAATGATTATATTTAGCTAGTTTACCTTGATTAGCAATTTCCTCCACATCTAATTTGGCTAATTCAGCATCAGATCAAAAGTAGCATCAGTTTTTAAAACTTCTCACTTTTTAATCATCCCAAAATATTGCGCATAAATAACAACTCTCAATAACTTTTCATTTCTGGTTTATCTCACAGTGTTCTAAATTGAGTAATTAAGCCACTTACTCTACCTTTTTTAGCTTTATCTCTTAACTTTTCTATTGCTTCTTTTTCAGTATTAATTTTACCTTTTTGAGAATTCATTTCAGCTAATTCACTTCACTTTGCACCTAATTTAGCCTTTGTTGCATTTAAAGCTTCTCTTTTAGTAAAAGTAATTCTTACTCATTCATTTCATTTATTGATTGTACTATTTTCATTTGTCACATCATCATCAAATTTGTCAACTACTTCATTTTCTGGATATGTCTCTATTAATTTAATAGAAAAATAGAAATTTTGTCTTTTATGTCTTCATATTTCAAATTTTTTGCTCTTCTGGAGAAAGTTGAAAAAGTTTTATTTTTAAAAGTTGATAAAATTTCTCGAGCAATAACCCTTCACTCACCTTGAAGACTTTCTAATTCTCCTTTTTGAAAGATAGGAGTAGTAGTACCTGCCTTTGTTAAACCTTTGAGTAAATTTTCAACATATTTTTCATATTTATCAACTAAAATACTACTATTGGCAAGTGAAGAATATTTAAGACGAATTTTATTCTCATAAACAGATATTTCATCTTGAATTATTTCATCATTAACTGCATCAGAACTTAATACTGTATGACAGGCACTAAAATCAATGGCTTTATCATTATTATAAACTTGTCAAAAGAATTCAGGGATTTGACTATTCACCCAAGTTAATTTTTTTACTTCATAAGAAAAAGGAGCTCTCATAATACTAACACTACCACCAGGAGAAGTAACATAATTCTTTCCAATAATACTAGCATCCTCACCTCGTCAATAAATAGTATAAGAAGTATTAATACTTTTTTCTGTATCATTAAATTGTAAACAACTCTTTTGACCTTTTTGTATAAAAGGACTATTTGAGTAATTACTATCTTTAGGAAAGAGAGCATGCATGACATAGAAAATGTCACTCATATATCGATGAGTTTCCATATTTTCTTTGACATATTTCTCATTACTTACACCAGTCATTGTACTTTTATTACCAAAGCCAAAAAGTTTTAATTTTAAGTCTACAACTCGAGAAAATGTTTTTTTAAACTTTTCTTTATCCTTAACACTTCAAAAACAATCTGAAGAATCAATATACTCAAAAAGTTTATCTTTATCAATTTCTTTAAGAATTTTTCAAATTTGACCTTGAAAATTCATACTTAAATAAACAGCGTTAGTATAAGATTTACCATTGCTGCTAGCATTAATATTAGTTTTAATCACTGAACCATAAGTTTCATCAGGAATAGCAGGGGTATCAGATTTATATTTTTCTTCTGAAACAATTTTATTACTCTTAATTGTTTCTTCAAAAAACCTGCGACCACCTGCACTAACAGTTCTAAGATCATTTTTTAAAGTAGCAACTGCTGCATTAACCTTAGTTTCTAAAACAGTTTGTTTTTTTTCTAGTGAATCATTATATTTCTTTTTTAACTCTTTAATTTCTTTATCTATTTTTTCCCTTTTTCCTTCAAATCATTAATTTTAAGTGCAGCCTCTTCTGTTTTTTGATCAAATTCAGGATCAGATTCATTAAATAAAATATCTTCAAACTGACTAACAACCTTATCAACTGGTTTATTGTCATTTAGATTATTAACAACTTGATAAGGAATAGATTCAGCTTTTTGCTCTTTTAAGATGGAAGCCAATAAATTATGACTTTCTGAACTTAAACCCATCTTTTCAACTTTTACTTTTTCTTTACCTTCTCTACAATTATTTAATAACTGAGCAGTATCTTGAAGGAGTGTTTTATCCAAAATGTCATTTGGGTTTAAAAGATTACTATCAAAGATAGCCTTTTCTTCTGGTTTAAGGACTCCTCCATAATAATTGGAATATCCTTTTGCTTCATCTATTGTATTGATATCATTTTTTTGAATGTCATGATTTAATTCCTATATTATATTTTAATATTAATATCATTAAAAGATTAAATATAAAGAATTTAATAAAATCTAATAAAGTAATAAAATTTGTGATTGACTGAAATATTTTTATTCATTATCAGTATAGGTTGGTCTTGGACAAGTGATATCTTTAAATTCATCTCTGACAAACGGACGAATACTTTTGTAAAGGTAGTTTTGACGTTTGTAATCTAATGGAGGCAGAGTTAGAACTAAAATAGAAAAAGATTTAATTTCTTTGGTAATTTCGGAAACAGTTGCCTTTCTAGTTTTTAACAAATTAAATTCAGTATATGAATCATTAGCAACCAGCTGAGTTTTGACAATACTCGGTTTGGCTGCTTCAAATACAAAATGCTGATATTTTTGCAAACCATTCAATTTTTTAAAGAAAATTCCTAACACAGAATTAAGATCTAAATATTAAAAACCTTTTTCCTTGTTATAACGCTGAGCTTTGTTTAATCCTGCTTTACTCGATCTTTTTATAACCTCAACAATATGACCTACACAATCTATAGTCATTTTGCAGTACAGTTTCTTAATTAATCCAAAACTACCATCACACTTGAATTTAGTATGTCCAGGCACCATAAAATTTAATTTAATAGTTTCGTAATAGCCGCAAATTACTAAATATAGGTAAAATCAAATAGTGACATTATTTTTGTTCTGTCCACTCGCGTTATCACAAGTAATCTTTAAATACTTTTCACCTTTATTCAATCGTTTAATCCCATCGAATACCAGGCTTAGCGTGCCATTAGGGCCTTTGCCGATAATTTCATTTTCATTGAGAATGTAATTAATTTGTTCGCATATTGCTTCATCTTGAATACCAAATAAATGCACTTTACGCAAACTAAGATAATAAATTTTACTTACCTGTTGATCAGAATGGGGAACGTGAACATTTTGCGCTCAATCGTAACTGTAATGAGCAGTAGCATCAACACTACAATAATCAGCTTTACCTCTTGTTATAAAATGCTCATCTATTAATTTTCTCTGTTGTTCTGCTAATTTCGTATTTTTGTTATAATAGTTTCTCTCTAATTTAGCTTTAACTAGATGTTCTTTGAATTTTTTTAGTAAGTCTCTTGCTTCTTCTTCTTTACGAGCATTATACTGTAAACTGTTCCGATAATGTTAACACATATTGCATAAATCCGTTCGTGGACTCATGATTTGAATATAAGACATTAATTGATGTCATAACTTGCGAAATGCATCATATTTTAACAGTTTCAGTGCGCTATCATTTTCGAGACCTGTAATAAAATCGTTTTAGCTGGTAAAAGTATAAGCGATTGAGTAATGCGATTGACGTTTCTACCAGGACTTGGTAATCTGTGTATTTCAGCATAATTTTTGAGAAAATTCTTTACGGCGGTAGCAACAGTTATATCAATGGTTATTTTGGTTTTCCATCATGGCATTCATTTTATGTTACCATGAATGCGTGGTATTATACCATTCGTCGCTAGGTGATTTCTGACGTTTTCCAAATGAATGCGACCGATTCCTAACATATTAAGATACGTTTTCTGACAAAGTGGTGTATTGCGATCTCAGTAGTAAAACGTTCGCTTATTAGTACGCGTTTTCTTTTTAAGACGTCGGCTGGCAGTTATTTCTCCACCATTCATTGCTTTCAACTGGGCCATTAAAAATATATCTTGTTCAGATCTAGAGAGAGCTTGAAATGCCTCACGTAATTCGGCAAACCTTTCTCTTAGGATCCTTTTTGAACATCTACAATTACAGCCTGTTTCCAAGAAACGTATTGCTTTTTCATATTCATACGAACCATTATAATTATAATTTTCCATATATAAGTAATCCTATATATTGGTTTTACCATTCTGTATTATAAGAGCACCATTTTAATGTCATAAATCCCAGACACTACTGACAATGCCCAATTATTCAAGAAGTTCATTAAATTCGTTTATAAAATAATAAGAACATAATGTATTCATGTAGCTAGAGGTTAGAACTGGTTTGGCATAATTCGATTTAAATTCAGTTTAAACCAGTTGTAACATAAAACCAGGTCTGATTTTTTTAGATCCGAAAACTGGTTTTAATAAAACCGGTTGATTGCGAAAGTTCGAATTTAATGAAACCGGTTGAAACCTGATCCAATCATTAACTGGTCGATTAATTATATA